CCAGAATATGAGAGAAATCACATTTATAGGAAGAGGTAAGAGCTATCTGGCGTGGCGAGAACTAGAAAGAGGCCTGTCTTCTGGCAAAGGTATTGAACGTCTATTGGAGGCATCAATTGTAATAGAATCTGTCAAATGGTACAACATTATCAAACGAATAATTGATGTTGTGCTATTCCTTGATGAATGGGGGCTTGTTTTGCGTGACAGTTCCCAGTGCATTGGTGACAAAGACAATGGGAATTTCCTTGGAGTCATCGAGGTGTTGTCTCATTGGGATCTAATGTTAAAAGACATGTGTAACAAGAAGAAGGGGGAACGAATTCAAATAAATTATCTCATTGCCGATTCACAAAAGGAGTTAATTGCTGAATGATCTTCACTTGTAATGCAACACACTTTGGGGGATAGTACTTTGCTGTTACTGTTCATGCCACGCCAGATTCCTCCCATGTTGAGCAAACAACATTTCTTTTGCGATATGTAATACCATTTATCAACACAAGCCATAAGATAGGATATGACATAACCCAGATGATCGTAGAACACGATATTCCACTGTCTGATTGTCATGCACAGATATATGATAATGCAGCCAACATGGCAGAAAAATACAAAGGCCCACATTCAAAAATACTTGAGCAACGTGAAACAGATTTATTTTCAACATGTGGATGCCACACTCTTAATTTGTGTGTAAATGATGTTTCACACTTAATTTGTATAGAAATGATGCAGCACATTTAATTTGTATGGAAATGATGCCGCACATTTAATTTGTATAGAAATGATGGCACACACTTAATTTGTATAGAAATGATGGCACACACTTAATTTGTATAGAAATGATGGCACACACTTAATTTGTATAGAAATGATGGCACACACTTAATTTGTATAGAAATGATGGCACACACTTAATTTGTATATAAATGATGGCACACACTTAATTTGTATAGAAATGATGGCACACACTTAATTTGTATAGAAATGATGCCGCGCACACTTAATTTGTATAGAAATGATGGCACAGAATGCATCCCTGAAGCCATAACATACTTTAGAACTGTATAAACTGTTAACAGCTTGTTTAGTTCTAGTCCACAGTGATGGGAACTGCTGCAGTGTATTGGCTGTTATCTTTACTGCATGTCTAACAGGACAGTCACAACAGACAGTCACACTGTGTTGAAAGTATAAAGTCCCTTGCCGCTCCCTTGCTGGGCATCAAAATTGGCATTAGAAAACTTCTTGGAATTTAACCTAACTGCCAAAACAAGAACAGAGATAAATGGAGCTTTGTCTTATGTCACATTCTTCATTTGTGTGATAATGTCTGGTGTATGTATAAAGTATTAGTTCCAGTTGATATTTGTGACAAGTTTATTCAATTACAGAAATGTAACGCTGGATGTCAGTGTCCAACTTAAAAATCTTCAGAACAGCTGGAAAAGTATGTGGAGTGAAGATAAGCATATTACTTCTAATTTGCGCATGGAAGTGAAACTAGCTGGAACTTAGGGTGACGCGAAGCACAAAAGAAAGAGGTTCCATGATCAAGGTGCTATAGAAGAAGCAGATTTGCCAAAACAAGAAAAGGATGAATCCCCCGAGTAAGCATATTTCAGAAATTCTGTCTTCTACTGGTAGATATGGCTAGTCTTAGTATTGAGTCAGATCTTGCTAAAACTATTGATTTTGATATAATTCACAATACTGCTAAGGAAAGCACCTTTGTTTAGCAGAATATAAATACTAAAGTAACTGTTGTGAGCTTGTAACCAATCTAGAATTAAATTCATTGCTCATGTATATTGTTTCATTGTTGTTTATATAATAATGTGTATCATTGTTTTTGATTATCTTTCACAGAAGTTCCTGTCCTCTTTTTATTATCTGTGAATATATGTTTGAATTTAACTAATAAATTATGACATTAATGATTTATGCGTCCATGTGCGTGTGTGTGTGTGTGGGGGGGGGGGGGCGCATTTCGATCTTGTTCCAGCACTTAATAATCCTCTCGGCTGCTCTGACCATAGCTGACCATTATTTTNCTAAAACTATTGATTTTGATATAATTCACAATACTGCTAAGGAAAGCACCTTTGTTTAGCAGAATATAAATACTAAAGTAACTGTTGTGAGCTTGTAACCAATCTAGAATTAAATTCATTGCTCATGTATATTGTTTCATTGTTGTTTATATAATAATGTGTATCATTGTTTTTGATTATCTTTCACAGAAGTTCCTGTCCTCTTTTTATTATCTGTGAATATATGTTTGAATTTAACTAATAAATTATGACATTAATGATTTATGCGTCCATGTGCGTGTGTGTGTGTGTGTGTGTGTGGGGGGGCGCATTTCGATCTTGTTCCAGCACTTAATAATCCTCTCGGCTGCTCTGACCATAGCTGACCATTATTTTGCTCGCAGGTAAGTGATTGCGATGGTGGACCCTGTTTGATAAAAGGTGGCAGAACAACTCAATGAGAGATTTAATGAGACCACACCAAGTCACACAGATATGCTGTCTCATGTTAAGTAATTTCGTAAATTATGGCCTCTCCCTCCAACATTTTTTCAAACATGGACATCATTCATGTTCTCTAACGTATAAGGGAAAATAATGCAAGACTATTCATCCTTTTTCGTCACTGAAAAACCATTTGCAACAGCAACTGCCAAACATATAATCTGGGCTTTTCACTTTTATGTTCACATGGCAGCTGGAGCTATGCAAGAGTCGTAGACAAGTACGCATTCAAAAATGTGCAAGTTTCAGTACTGCCAGTTTTGGTGCATTTGGTAGTTATTTATATTAAAAACTTAACATACTTCAAACTGCTGGCTTCTTTAATTGGCTATGTAAGATGCTGTAACTACAATATGTTTTTCAGGACAATAGTTGAAAAGAGCTCAGATGTGCCAATGAGAAAGACATAATTTAACATATTAGATTAGATGATAATAAATGAAGGACAGCGTTCAAGCAGCGTGAAGGAAATAGAAAAAGGTTTGTGAAAGCTTGAATCAAAATACAGGACAATAAGATAAAAACGTTTCGGCTAAGAGCCTTCCTCAGCAGACAAGAAATAGAAGCTAGTTAAAAACTTAAGTGATCGCCACTGTTATTGCTGGAAGTTGGATTTTCTAAAACCAAGATTACAGGAAGTGAAGGAATTTTTTAAAGATAAAATGACGCTATTTGACCTTCTACGAAGCAATTGAATGCACCACATACCCTAGAAAAAAAAGCAAGAAAATCTCAAATTTCAAGGTACAAAAAGTTTTCTCGATCTTGCACCATATAGATGAATAGGAGAATTCAAGAGTAACCAGGAGCTATTATTAAGAGATAACAGGGGTTAGAGTTAAGATTTTACAAAGAGTAATCATGGAAGCCTTAAAATCTATTTGATCTTTCCAATGTAAGACAAAAGAAAATAGAAAATGCTGATAAACTATTGGATCTCATCAAAGAAGAGGGAAAGCCAAAAATGGACATCGGATAAACTATTGGATCTCTTAAAATAACAGAGAAAGCCAAGCATGGAAGCTGATAAATTTAATGGACATTTTAAAAATTCTTTGACATTTACTTGGAAATTACAACTAAACCACCAAAATTTAACCCCAAAAATGTATACATAAATTGTCCAAGCTATACTAACTGATTTGAATTGACTTAATACAAGACTTCATTTAAAACATCTTTTACTATTTATTATATGCTTTGATTTGCTTACTTTCAACATTGAACTTCTTGTGTTGACTGGACACATGTTAGAGAGCCATCAAATGTGAGCTTGCAGTTCTGACCACGATCAACCCCCCCCCCCCCAGCTCGAGTTTTGGAGAGAAATAATTCAAATAACAATTATTTATTGTGACGCTGGAGAAGCTGGAGAAATGATATCGTTTCCAAATGAAAACTATCATTAAAACTGTTGCAGTTCTGAACACCAACAACCCCCCCCCCCCCAGCTCGAGTTTTGGAGAGAAATAATTCAAATAACAATTATTTATTGTGACGCTGGAGAAGCTGGAGAAATGATATCGTTTCCAAATGAAAACTATCATTAAAACTGAAATGCTAACTGAAATATAACAAATATAAAATATCAACCAAAGTCTTATCATATCTGTCAAAATAAACTCATTGAAAAAGAAAGCTAACATTTACTGTTGCTGAGATTCAAATAATCATCACAAAAAGGCTTGGCACAGCAAAACATACCTTCTCTTAAAGATTGCCTCTTCCACCAGGTGCCCTAACAACCTATACAGCATATTCTTTCTAAAACAAATGTTGCACAATCATCCCATCTTTCTCTATCCTTAATTCGAAAACATGTAAGCTAATAATGCAGAAACCCAGCAAGTGGGTCAAATATGTTTGAAAGAGAATATGATGACATACTGTACAACAGAGAGGAGAAATGATGACCCACAAAAGAGCAGAAAGGAATAAACACCAGAGAGTATACTGGAACCAGGGCTACTATTCAATTTTTTTTTAATTCCCAAGATTTCCCAAGATCATGAAAATATATGAGTTTTGTTTACAAAATCTTGGGAATTTTTAAAAAAAAAGGACAGTTCTTGTCCTGAATGGGGTAGTGAATTCCCAAGATCTTGGGAAAATTCCCAAGGTGTGGCAGCCCTGACTGGAACGTGTTTGGCTACAAAATCCACAGTGGAAAAGCTGGCATCATGAAAATTGCAATCCCCAAAAAACATCCAAAAGACTTTTAAAAAATATTTTTTACATAATCATTAACAGAATGCACTTGAAGCTTTTGCTACAGAGATACTTTTTATTTGGTTATAAGCTAAAAAAATTTATAGAAAATTAAATTCTATTAAGACTAGTCAAGACATGAAATACAGATTGCATATACCCAGGTCTATTCAGATATTGTGAACGAATTCAACATCACCATTTTTTTTATAATGCTATTTTGCAGGTTTTACTATCAAACTCTAACCTTACCTTATGTCTTCCAAGGTAAACAATAGCACTAGCCCCCCTCCCAAGTGAATCTGCAGTGTTCCATGTGTAATTGTCTGTGCTGATCAGTGTGCCTGAAATTTCATGTACACATGTATAAGGGTACAGGTATATAAAAAAATATTAAAAAACAACTTTTTCACAGTTTTTTATCAAACCATTTGATGCCCAAATAATGCCCTCATGGCTTTATTGTATATGCATTTGACCAAAAAAGTGCAGCTCAGGGCCTACCACCACCCTCTTCCTACACCAGTGATTGCAATGAAACATACTTGAGAAAACCTAAATCCATAATGGAAATGAAACTTTGTTATCTTATCAGTAGCTTTTACAGTTCCCTTTATATCTTCAAAATGATTTTTACATTATATTGCTAGACAAAGGGAAAGGGACAGTATCAAAAGTATGGCTTGTTGGATCAATGTAGCCTTAAGATTTCTGTTTTAAACCAGAAATTCTAATTGCTGCATGACATACCACCAGTACTTTTTTAAATACCCCAATCTAGGTGCTTGTCATTCTAATATAATTAAAAATACAAACTGTATCTTTAAAAAAAAATCATATGACAATGTTTCAACATACATTTATCTTACCTTTAATTATAGGATACGTTGAAGAAGATGTCATCTAATTATATATTCCTTATATGTAATAATAGTAGTTCCAACAGAAAAGCTGTATTTCACAAGAAAATTGTTTCAGTTTCGTTAATATGATGAGCTCAAAACTCCAACAAGTAGTCAGAAACACATGTTATAAATATATTTATATAAATAATTTTATAAATATAAAATTATATTGAAAAAATAATTATTAATGCACAGCAAGAAAATCCTTTAAAAAAAAACGAATGTCTTTGATGAAAAATGTTGCTTCTTGTTTAATTACAAATTAGATTAATGTTCAGGGATTAAAACAAATTACGGTTGATAAATGACCAATGCCAATATTTAAAATACAAATTTTATAATTGCTAATATTGTTATAGCGGGTGACTTCTCAAAGTATCACAAAAGAAAATCCGTAAAAGTTTTGACGCCTCTGTATAGCTACTCTTTTCTTTTCTTTTTTTGTACTATTATGAATATATTAGAAAACGTATTTGTAGAAAAATATCCTCCACTGTCCTTTATTTTACGTGGCCCTTGAGGGAGTATAAGGTGACGAAAAATCGGATCATTTAACGTGAAATGAACATCGCTATATCCTCTCATCGGCGCTTTGTTGCAGAGACTCGTCACTACAAGTAGGGACGCCGTGGTGGGAATGAATGCCAGAATTTCATCAAAACTTGTAAGAATATATCACAATCCTTTCGGCGCTGCAAAAAAAAAAAAAAAAAAAAAAAAAAAAAAAAAAGAAAAAAAAAAGGTAAACACAATTAATAATTTTCTGATGCCATAAAAACTTTTTATGCTAGGTAAATTTAATTTTAAATGTGTTGTTTACTACATATGTAGAAAAAAATATTAGTTATTAGATGTTTGGTACAATTCATTTATGTTTCATTAGAAATTATATTAGTTATTAGCCCTATGAGATATGGTATTAAATATTTTTAGTTATTTTTAATGATTAATGTAATGATGAATTTTATTAATTCATCATCTGGCATTCACTTCATTCAGTATTTGACACCTTGACAAAGTCTGACTGATTCTCATATCTTCTACTCCTAGGTTTTAACTACAAAAAATAGTTTTTAAATCATTATTTGATTTGATTGTCTTTGTGAAGGAATACAAAGGTAATTAAAAGTATAAAGTGATAACATCTGGATGGTTTCTTTTATGCCATTACCATACCAGTATTCTATGCTAGTGTAAATTCTTTCAGATTCTTTAGTTTAACCAAATAGTCATATGTCATGTCCTCCAATCTTCTAAAGAGATACATTTGCTGGTTAGATCATGTAAAGAGAATGGAGCCAGGCCATATTGGACAGCCACGACAGGGCTATATACACAAGACGTGCGTCAAAGAAACATTAACATAGCCAAAGCCATCATTGAAAGTACTGATTGATTAAATAATTGAATAGAAGAGTAAAGCTGATGACCATTCCGGCCAGCAAACAGCTGTGAATACAGGAATGTAACTGTCAGACTCAGATGTCAGAAACAAAGTCTTTGAACATAAAGAGGCATAGGAAAGGCCAAAGAAACCCAGCAGTCAAAGTTCACCAGCAAGAAGTTCAAATGAGACTGCCATTCTAGGATCTGATTGATTCATAAGTTACTGGAGAAGGTCCAAATAAAACAGAAGAGTGCCATCAAAAATCATCTCATGGAGACAGATGGCTAAGACGCCTGAGATAGATGCCACAATAATAAATATTATATAATATTAGTATTAGGCCTAGATATTAAATAGTATTAGTATTATTAATTATATAAAATAATATGAATATGAGACTCAAATACACTATTACTAGATTAGCAATAGTTTATAGTGGCAATCATAATCTAACACTAACACCAACAATATAATTTTAGACTTGGTATTATTAGGGCCTAGTTTAGTACTAGAATTGTATTTCTGAAATAATTTTTATCAAATGAATTAAGTTTAAGTGTATTCCATTTTCACATTATTATTATTATTCTTTCAATGTCTTTTTCAGTTGCTAAAAAAGTTAAGATTCATTGAATGATATTGATAAAAGTCAAAAGTGGAGACTATTTTATTTCGTAAATATTAATTATTTATTCTATTATTATTATATTATATCCATAAAAGATGTTTTGATCGTTAATATTAATAAATAATAATAAAATAATAAATAGTAATAGCACTGGCACTAGTGTTAATAAACTTAATATCAAGTTAAAAAGCTTATTTTTCAATGCATTTCAGATCTTTTAGGCCAGTTAATTTAATGAATGCGTAAAATAATATAAAATATACAAAGTCTATTCGGCTTCGAATAATAAAACTAATATTTTATAGATAATCTTTCGGGAACTTTTAGGGAAAATTTACTTACTCTTACACATTAACTTCAATTAGCTACATGTGTTTTTTAAGAGTGATTTCCCCTTAAGAATTAACATGCAACTGCACATCTCATTTGTCATCTATGTCGGCCGATAAAATAAACATTTAATTTTAGAATAAAATAATTTTGTGAAGGTCCTTATCTAATAAAATTTTGAATTAATGTGGTGAATTTAAAATGCAATAATCGTACCATAATGTAATAGAGGAGGAGGAGAGCAACCATGATATTTCATTATTATTAGGCGTATATACCGCCCAATACCGGTATTAATTTTTATTTTAGTCCATGAAATTTCCCGCTTCATTTAAATTTTCATTTTGAAGAAAATGTGCACACATCTAACTCAGTGGTCATGACAATGAATATAATCTTTGCTTGAATTAAGATGTTCATATCATAACTTGAGTAGCCAAACATGTAAAGTTAGAGGACGTTTTAGTAGTTTTTGCTCTGTATAGCAGTTAGTTCGAATTTTGAGGTTATATTATAACAAAATTATACATGTTCTTTGATTCTTTGTTTGCCACAGATCATTTTGTATTATCACGTCAAAGTAGGCTATGCCTACCAAAGTGTTGCGTTTGTTATTAAATTGTACAAAATAACATAAATTGTATTCATAACTTTTAAACTATAAAGTGTTTGCCATTGTTTGGCCACGATTCCCAAAAATCACATAAATATGAAAGTGGGTCAAGAATAAGGAGGGATGTCAAAAAGGTTAAAAATACCTGCCCGGGTGCATCGACCCACGGAGCAAAGTACCCGATAATTTTTTTCTGAACTGCAGGTAGTCATGGGCGTGCCATGGAAGGGTGTTAACAAAAAATTAGACTGTGGTGTATGTCAATACGTCACGTTTTAATTATTTAAAATATTATAGTTAATTAACAAAAGTGAAAATATAATTTATAGAAAGCTTCCTGTTCTCTTTATTTCAATATTTAAAATAAAGCAGAATCACGTCCTCGACCAGAAAACTTGGGGAACGCATGATTTCGTAGCTATTTAAAAATATAGGGAGAGTGGTGTGATTTTTTCCATTTTTTTATTTTTTTTTAATCGGGCACCCAAGAAATACGCGGGCAGTAAGGCCTGGGTGCATACCCATGTATCAGATGACAGCCCTAATCACCATGCATTAGAGGTCCTTTGTTTACAGCACCGCATCCCACTCTATTGCAAAACATGTCCCGCCCCCCCCCCCGCCCCCTTTCCCGATAAAAGGTACCGTTATGGTACTCAACTCTCCTTACGGTCCAAGTCGGTGCCTCAACTGTACTGCTATACCATCCGGTACTCTCGCTGCCCTTCGATTGCTTTCTCCCCCGACTGTCCTCTACCGCTGCCCGGCTGAGTTCTCCTCAACTGTCCTCTACTATCCCTTGCTGAGTTCTGATCTAGTCCCGACTATCGGGCCCCTTTTATTTATCTTGGCATTTCTAGAGATTCCTTACCAGGACTATCTATTTCAGCACATGTGCTAAGAATTGGTTTCTACATGCCGGTACTATGTATTGACTTCACGCTGCCTTCAGTCTAAATAGACATTTCTAATTAACTAGCAACCCTTGGTTGATAACTACTGTCAGTGTGGCGTGCAATCCGATGGTCCTACTCCATGACGACGGTACCCAACGACAGTTACGGATTGCGGAAATCCGTACTACCCAAGTTCCCCATAACCTCGGTCTACTATATGATGGACATTGCTCATTAACTAGCCACCGGCCTGTGCATATACCAATGCCTTGGTTGATGGCGATGACAGAGACGGTATCGCCAAGGCCGTACTAAGCGCGTCCTGTTGCAATCTGACACCCTGTGACAGATGGCCAGTCTTCGTACCTGTGGGAATTCACAGTACTACCGAATCCACAACATTCGACCCACCCGAGTTGGAAGCTGTGCGCCATAAGTGTCCATTCATGATCAAGGCTGTGTTAAAGGGGGAATCCACCCCGGACGCCCTCTCCAGAGGGGGGCAAAATCATTATTTTCATGCAAAATATGTATATCAATCATTTAAGATGTTCTTAATATGTTCTTTATATGCTCTTTTAGGGAGGAGGGCGCCTAAATTCAGGCCTTTCTCTGGGCGCAGCTTTTGTTTGACACGACTCTGTTCCTTACCCGGGCTTTGGAAGAATTGTTCAGAGTATAATTATGACACTAGTTACAGTAGTTACGTAGGCCTACTCAACGGCTCTAAATATTAAATAAGTAAAAAAAAAAGTAAGGTTAAACCTGAAAAAGAAACACAAAAAAACAACGAACGTGTCGGCAGGAAGCATTCGTCAGCGAACAGAATAAAATTTAAAAAATAGCACTTAACTTTAGAAGTAGAATCCAAGAGGGCAGCAAATGAATTGTCCACGGCTCTAAGCTCTACAAATTATGACATTAGATATAGTAGTTACATAGGCCTACTGCACTGCTTTAAGCTCTACAAATTATGACATTAGTTACATAGGCCTAATCCACGGCTTTAAGCTCTACAAATTATGACATTAGTTACATAGGCCTAATCCACGGCTTTAAGCTCTACAAATTATGACATTAGTTACATAGGCCTGCTCAATAGCTTTAAGCTCTTACAAATTATGACATTAGTTACATAGGCCTGCTCCACAGCTTTAAGCTCTACAAATTATGACATTAGTTACATAGGCTGCTCCACAGCTTTAAGCTCTTACATATTAACCATACGGAAAAAACTGTTGCTATTAGAAAATAAAG